AGCCCCCCCCCCCCCCCGGGTATAAATGGTAATAGGAATTGGTAACACTACTATCGGTGTGGTGCTACCTACAGTTTTGCTTTATAGTAGATTATATTCAAACCATAAAGGAAAAATTACTTTTTTAGTGATTCTGCAATAGCATGAGAGTTGAATAAGAAGATTCTTGTCATTTTTTCTGACATTTGGTGTTAAACATTGGGGTATAATGGAGCTGACATCGATTAGACTTTGTTGTTCACTTCTACATTATGTGCAAAATGTTTAAAGCTGTCAACCTATCACATTACATGAATTAGTCATGTGGTTAGTCACATGATCAGTCACCTGATACTGTAGTGTTCACTGAGACATTTCATAATATAGTTCACATCAGATATTATCTCCATTAGTTAGAACGTGCTGTAATTTTGGAGTATATTTCGGGAATTGTGAATTGTGACATGCCTGTAAACGAAATACTCATTGAGAAAGTTTCAATAATTTACCCCATCTTGCTCAGTTCTGGGTTTCATACATCAAGTGGTTGTGTTGGGAAGATTTATAATAATAAGGTTCTTATGTGAGGGTTATGCACTCAGACACTACGTGACATGGTTGCATTGTACTCTATTATGCATCTACCGTTACTCACTGTACTGTTTTTGGGCATACATTGCGATATTTTTATAACTTTCAGTAAAATATTATTTTCTTCGATCAATTCTGTTGTCATTCATCTTGGGGGCTTTAATAATTTTAAAATTTTCATTTTGCCATTTTAAAGAATTGTTTATTGTTGTACAATAAGCATGTCATATTTTATAAATGCAATATATTAGACAATTATTAAACGTTATGTGTGAAATCTAACGTCAATACAAGAAAAAACAAAGGTCATCGTGCTGTCAAAACTGTGCATGGGATTTGAAGGGCACTTATGTTTTCTGGGGTTATTTTCTCATTTAATAATGTGCTTATATACACACTTGATAATGGGCTATTTTGATGAAATAAGGATACCTAAACAACATGTTCCTCTCAAAAAAATTGGTGTTTTGACATTGAACTTTAAAAAATTAGGTACAAAAACAAATTTTTCAGTTTTTGTTGTTTTCGTGCCTTTTACACATAAGGTGAAATCTCATAGAAGTACGAAAAAATCACAAATTCGAAAATTCCGAATTGAATGTTAGTCAAAATTGACAATTTAATTCAGAATCTGCTCTACCTACCATTGACTAATATATATTTAAAACTAATATATATATATATATCTACACTCATTTTCGGTCGTTGAAACGTATATGATAGAGTATTCACTCTGAGCTATTTTTGTTTTACATTTCATTTTTGACATCTGTTAATAAAACTAATAATTGTTTACTTTCAGAATTCACACGATGTAGTGCCGCAGTCTGACCCGCCATCTGATGTGTTCTTACCTAGTAATAGTCAGCATGACTTTCTGAGTGTGGCTAGCGATCGTAGCAATGTTAGAACCTGTGCATGTCTTAATGAGCCTCCACTCGATACATGCTATGACATACTTTGTGATAACCAGTCATATCAGGTGAGACCTTGAAAAGTTTCCAGTTTCCTCTGGCAAAAGACAAGTTTTGAGAATCATTGTTACCTTAGAAACTTACACTTTTTGTTGTAAAAACTTCCCGAATTGTCTGCACAGGGGGGTGATTTCACCGCATAAAGGTTTGATAGCTCATCAGAACACAAAACACATATGTAACGTTTTTTTCATGGAGAAAGAAGGATAACACTCATAACACTACGTATTATTTTTAGCATAAAAAATACTCAGTAATCTTTGAAATTCAACAAGTGGATTTCCATAAAACAACCTCAATAATTGATCAAAAATGCATTTTTTGAATAGTTTACAATTGGTTACATTCCATCATATCTAACATTTCCGAGTATTTTGTTGGTGGTAGCAAACTACCTTAAAGTTTATGCTTATATATATATAGCTTATACATAAATCTATTTTAGTTTTAGGACTACACATTCTTTATATTTCTGAATATATTGTTGATGATATTATTATTTTCATCAGTTTACTTATTCCTGTCCTTTTTACAGAGATATCAACTTGACAGAGTTCATTTACATGACAATAAAAGGACCAGTTATGAACATACTCAGAAAGTTGCAGAGAATTTCATGCTTCTTGGACAGGTAATATTTTGCTAGTCACTAGATATATTTCTCACGGCAACAGATATATGTTTCCTAGCAACAGAGCATTTATACTAGTCCAATACTTCCTGAAAAGTTTCTATTTTGCTAATGACTAGATATCTTGTCTGTATTATGCATGTCTCTTGGCAACAGATACATATGTCCCCTAGCAACAGATTAATAATGATTACTTCTGGGATACATATTTCAGTATGAATATTTATGCTGGTTTTCATCACTATGTTACACTCCTTGCTGCCTAGCAACTGAACTGTCATTCAAATAGCAGTGTTACATTCTAATCATATTTTGAAAGTACCTGAAAGGCTTGTTATATACCGGTATCAGTATTCAGTTTTAAAGTAAACATAATATATTGGTATAACTGTGTTTTCTAGACTGACAGGGCAGTACAGTTATACCTGGAGACAGACTCTGATAATGATAACTATTATGTAGATTCCTTGAGAGCATGTTTAGTGGCAACTATAAGATCATCAGGTGCTTCACAGAGTACTATTAAATTGGTTGCTACCAGTCTCATTGCCAATGGAAAACTTTCAGGTTGGTATGACTCCCATTGTTTTCTATAATTAGTGATTACAAATAATTACTTTTAGTATCTTAATTAAAACATGTTTGATGTTTATTTTTTTTTTACCCAGAGGGAGTTCAACTGTTATCACTGATTGAGAAAGGTCTTGATGCATGTCGTTATCTTCAGACTTATGGAGAGTGGCAGCAAGCTGTTTGGTTGGCTAAGGTAAATATAATGTCTAATGTATTGTATGTTGTAAGTACATGTATTCTAATATAGGTATCAGGTGAGAGTGAATGCCATCATTTGGAATAGGTGCTCAAACAGTTCAATTTTTCAGGGCAAAAAAAAATTTCCATTTGATAAAAAAAAATACTCAGTGATTGTAATGAAATAAAGAGCAAGTATCAAATGAAAAGAAACATGAACAACAGCAGTACGATTCAGTACAATGCCGGTCAAAGAGCCAGTGAAACCAACAAAAGTTGAAAAAAAATGAATAAACTCAACTTTGAAGTAATTCTGAGCAACCAAATTAATTTTATATTGCACATTTTGGAGTAATCTTTTTACACTGTTCAGTAGTGTCTCAACAAATATCCCAAAGTACCGCTTTCTGAGAGTTTTTGACCTTTGTTTTCACCATGATGGTTGCCAGGCGGTGAAAATGGATGTCCGTCCCCGAGAATACACCTTGTTGAACATTGATTAATACATACTTCATTTAACTAAGAAAACCTAAAAACCACGCTATCAACATAAAACCACCCACCATTATTTCAAAGTGTAGACTTGTATAATTTTTCTTCTATCCATCTGTTACAATGTAATTATGTTTTTATATTTCCAGTCTACTCTAAATTATGTAGAATGTTGTGAGGTGTTAAAACGATGGGCTGATAATTTGTGTTTACCAGAAGTAAACCAGAAAAGCAAAGCAGTGTTGGTGATGATTTCCTTAGGATTATTCCATAAAGCATTGGAGTTACTTTACAGGTGAGTAACAAGGGTACATAGTTTTCACTACTTGGTTTATAGATTACTGAACATTTTATTTTGTATCTTTATACAATTAAAAATGTTTTGCAGTTAAGGTAGTTGGTTGCCATTAAAATAAATTATGGTTTCATTTTATGCTGTTCAAGAAACTAGATAAAAATATATATGGTCACCGAAAAAAATTTCTATTCAAAGTCGAATCTCCATGGTGATTTTTGAGCTGTTTGCCATTGGTTTCTATGGTAACTAGTTCACACTATATTCCAAAATTTTGTCTGGTTATATATTATAAAAAAATCATCTGTGTTTATAAGCTCAATACTTGAATTTTGAAAAAAAATGTTTTTGTATAAATAATGCTTTAACATATTCCTATGGAAATAGTTCCAAAAAAGTAATTCTTTGCGTTATTTAAGGCAGTTTCTCTCAAAAAAATAATTCTTATTTTAAAGCAAGCGTCGGAATTGAGTCCCAACGTACATTAAAATCGCAAAGGTTCATGGGTAGACACTTGTTTGTAAACAACGACACGCTATGGCCGTTTGCCGCATGCGTAGGTGACAACTCACCCACTTTAATGGAAAAAAAAACTGAAAAGTTATTGACATGTCCAAATTGCTAACTATGTAACATTTTGGAAAAAAAAATTATGGTAATATTTCACCCCTATTTATTTGGTCAAACACCCTACCATAATCATTTTGAAGAATTGGTTCACATTTTCTGTAAGTTTCACTGAAGTTTTTGATCAAAAATTTTAAAATTGTCACAACATTTCATGTCGATCAGATTTATTGCATTTGTCAGGAAGAAGAAAGTAATTAAAAAGGTTTTTACTTCTGTCTTGGTTGTTAAACTCTTTGCCATGCTAGCAAAGCCTGACTGACTGTCGCTACGCTGGTTACATGTATTCTTATGCATATGTGCCAAATTTAAAACAACAGACATTCATGATAAAATAAATATAATGCACTGCAAACACCTAAATGACAGTAAGTAGATTAATGTATAAATAAATCACTTCAGTGTAGAAACATCAAAAATAGTTTGTATTTTCTATATTGAATATTCAATGAATGAAAAACTTTGTACATTGTTGTATTATGAGCTGTAGAGTAATAAGCTCTCGATTTAGAAGCTGTATGTAATATTGACTTTATTTGATGTCTTTTACAGTATGCACTACTTTGATAGAGCAGCATTATTTGCAGATTCCTGTGCGGAATTTGGACTACTCCCAGAAACAGAAGAAACCAATATCCTTTTCATTGTACATTAAATCTTCTCAGTGTAAAATGTTTGTCTATAACCATAGTACCCGGTAACCAGAGCATTACAAGAGCTGACACAATAGAATGTCTGTCTAATAAGTACATGAAATCTTCTCAGTGTAAAATGTTTGTCTATAACCATAGTACCCAGTAACCAGAGCGTTACAAGAGCTGACACAATAGAATGTCTGTCTAATAAGTACATGAAATCTTCTCAGTGTAAAATGTTTGTCTAAAACCATAGTACCCGGTAACCAGAGCATTACAAGAGCTGACACAATAGAATGTCTGTCTAATAAGTACATTAAATCTTCTCGGTGTAAAATGTTTGTCTATAACCATAGTACCCGGTAACCAGAGCATTACAAGAGCTGACACAATAGAATGTCTGTCTAATAAGTACATGAAATCTTCTCAGTGTAAAATGTTTGTCTATAACCATAGTACCCGGTAACCAGAGCGTTACAAGAGCTGACACAATAGAATGTCTGTCTAATAAGTACATGAAATCCAACAAGTGGTCTTGATTTGCAGGACAATATTCATTATGAAATGAATATGGCTTTTGCGACACGAGGTGTGCATAAGTAAGTCATACTACCGAGGGCAGCAAATGCTGTAGCCAGTCCATATAGATTTTATCATATACCATATAGATGTAATTACAATTTTACCACGACGTGACCATAAAAATACAGCGTAACTTAGAATGACACATTTTGTTTTGAATGATAAAAGTTGGGGGCGCTGGGCCAGGTGTGATACAGGAAGTGATTGCCCTGATGTGAGGGCGCTCTGCGTTACGAGGCAGGGCGATACATTATATGATAAACCAAGTTGTTGGGTTAGTTGTTGCAGAAGATCTCTCGCTGCAATTATGCACTCCAAAGTCGATAATATAAAAACAGGGTTATTTGCTTCATTTTTTATCTGTGATAAAAAATGGGCTTTTTAGCTAGTCAAAAATTAAATCAAATACTGTACACATATACTAATTCTTGTAATTTGGAAAGGTTGACCCAAATGACTTTACTGCCTCTGCCATTTCAAACCTGTCTGGATTTTTTCTAAAATCCCATTCTCAAATTTAAGGCTATAGTTACATCTATGTATTTCATTTCTTCAGATCATATTATTTAGTGTAATTTCCTTATCGCTGAGTACAGAAACTTGTATCTGCCATATATCTAGAATACGCTCATATACTCTCATCGATTGGTAACAGGAAAGCCGCCGCTCATTACTGTAACAAGTCAGCTGAGAAAGGAGAACATCTACAACAAGAACTAGAATGGATGTGAATAGATATTGTAATATATTTTAGTACTTTTAATCTGTATAATTATGTTCCGAGTAATGGTAAATAATTGTTATTGTGACTGCTGTCAAATCTAATCTGTCCCCCCTGAAAAAAAATGTACACAAGGAGTATGTTAACATGGGGCTATTACCACAAAGTACTGTAAATGCATTAATTATTGGTTTTTAAATTCGCTATATTCCCTAAAAAATTAAATAACAATAGAAGTCATTGTTTCCCTGCTAAGTTTGTAAACTTAAAACCTGGTGAAATTGCTCAAAGCATTGAAATAGTGAAATTAAACACCAGTGAAAATAAATGGTTTTACAGTATGCATGAAGGCAGTACAGTGATTGTATCGTTCCATGTGTAATGGAGGTTGATGCGTTCTTCTACAGTATCCGTGTGATGACCTTATTATTATACATCTTTTAATCACATGCACTTTTACGTCTGATGTAAACAAAAAAAGTGTTTGAATTTGACGTGATGCATGTTTTACAGTTAAAGAAGACATTCAATCGTATTCGTAACACTTTCAAACACGTCCGTACAGTGTTTTACGAATGGATGAATTTAATTGTTTTCAGTGTCAGATTCATAATAATGATATATATTTCAAGTGTATTTGTACACTGTCATTTGAATATGTTAATGAGGTGTGATGTCACTACTTTCTCTTACATACCGGTACTCATTATTTGATTAAAGTATGTGTAGTTCTCATGTCTTGTAAAATCTTTTTTTTTTGCTCAAAGTCTCAACTACCTAAAGCATTGCCATTTAAGTACTGTTTGACCACTGTGTTTACGTTCATCTCCATTTATATCTCAAATATGTCTGGACCAATCACATTTAAACTACACATGTGCATACATCTTGCGATACACATGCATTTATTTCAGAATCCAATACAAAATGGCCAAATGGCATCCATTTTTGTGCTATAAGTTTATTAAAATCGAGCAATTCTCCATTCTGAATGAATGGATTTTGTTCAAACTTGGTACATACATTAAACATTATGGAATCTTGATGCACATCATTTTGTTTTTCATATCAGATTCAAAATAGCAGACTAATGAACATTTTGTTTTGATGAATGTGGTTTGAAAGTCATATTTCTGACATATCATGACTGATCATATTAAAACTTTATATACATCATGTCTCACATATACACATATTTGTTTGATGATATTCAAGATGACCTGATAGCACTAATTTCAAAGTTGTAAATTTTTTCAAAAACAAGCATTTCTGCTGTTTTGGAACTACATCTTGGTAGTGCATGGACAGATTTTGTTCAAACTTTGTACATACATTGAACATTATGGAACCTTGATGGATGTCATTGAATCCAAAATGGCCGACTGGTGGCCATTTTGTTTTTAATGAATGCTGTTTCTAAGCCATATCACTGATATGTGGTGACTGTTGATGTTCAAACTTCATTTCTTAAACTAGATAACTTGCAATGCATTTACTTCTTGATCTCTATTTTTATGTTAAATCATCATGCTATGTAAACGATGCCAGCGTACAT